CCCACATCAGGAGGGTGGATCTTATCAGCAGCGCATTCTCACGGAATATCTGAAAGGCATCCAGTCTAGAGCAGAGGAGATTGGCCAGGTACTCGAGGGTGGAACTCGATAGTACTCTTTGGTTTCAAGAGTTCAATCATCTTTATGTTCTGAAAATGAAGAACTTGCAATCTTCAAGGTGAAAGCTGAACCTACTTTGCAATCTTCATGCATATTCATTTTGTGTATACATCTCACCCTTGCAGCTTTAAGATAAGTAATATTTTTCATTAGTGAATATAAGATAAGCAGCATAAAGTAACTTTGTTATTAGAAAGTAAAATTAAGTTTTTTGGATGGTCACCGAACTTATAAATTCAGTATGCCATTTGCCATTAACCCTTAAAAGTTTTTCGGATGGTCATTGAACTTATCAAATTGTTATTCCATCTATCACTCAATAATGCATCGTTAAAAATTTAGAGATATGTGAAGTTCTTAATTAAAAACATATTTAACTTTATTCGAGAAAAGACACTTAAATAATTTAAGGACCAATAAAATGAGTATTGTTAATTAAGTGATTATTCGAATTAAAGTATACTAGTGTTATTGAATTCGGAAACCTAGTGTCTTTTTCATATACAAATCTTTGTCCAAAGTTTCAAAGTAACCTTTAGCTTAATTTACTTAGGGTTTGTTTGATTGTAAAAATGGAATTTAGATGGAAAGAAAACGAATTTCAGGAAATTAAATTGTTTAGAACTTGTTTTATCGAGAATTGTTAATTAAATGTGTTTGATTAGTATAATTTTCTACTTGTAAAATGTTGAAGTGTTAGATTTTTTGATGTTCATTTGACTTTGTTTTTCATGAAAATTGTTAATTAAAGGGATAAATTTTTTTATAATTGAGGATAAAATTTGTATATATATATATTAAAAAAAATAAAGCTGACAATTCAAGGAAAAATGTCACATGTGGGGCGTGGGGAGAATGAATTCCATGGAAAATTGTTACAATCAAACAACCCACAAGATGGAACCATGGAAAATTTTCGAAATCAAACGGATCCTTAGATTTTAGTTAACAGGAAATTTAAATAGAAATTTATATAAATTCAATTAAGACTACAGTTAATTGAAAAAAAAAATATATTGATTACACACAATTATTTATTGACTTGTCCAAGGTCTTATTCCAAGGAAATAAAACTTATAAAAGTGTGAAAAAAATAAAAAGAAAAGTTAATAATTTGAGCGGCCCAAGCCGCAGAAACTGCACAGCGACATTTAAAATGTTGAACTTGACTTCCACAATCGTAACAGAAATTAATGCCGCACCTGCACTCAACATGAAAGCAAATTTAAATTACGCCTCTGAAAAAAAGGCAATGAACAAATAGCAATCCTCATAATCCAAAATTGAACCTTGCAGAAGTTATTTACAAATTTCCCAGTTAATCTAAGAAAAAGAAGCAAGCAAGCAAGTTCCAACCTTTACCTGGTCCCTCACTATTCATCCATCAAGGGATTTTTCGACGAAGTTTATGATAAAAGCTTTAGTAGAATTTGATATAATTTGACGAAATATTTCGTCGAAAATTGATCAAAATTGTGGATCTCATGACTGTGTGATTAAAATTAATTTTTAACTTTAATCTCAGCCTTTTAAGCCATACCGACCTTTTCACAAGAATTATGCTATCTATGATTGATATTTTGGGCATGCTTGGGAGTTTTATTTAAAGGTTTTGACCGCTTATGAGATGTTGAGAAAATCGATGTTTCTAAGTTTTTTAAGATTTTGGGTGGTTTAATTTATAAGCTGGATGTATTTCTAAACCCCCAAATCGGTGATTTCTGAAACCATGTATTTTGTTGAAAACTAACTTCTGTGTAAAACATAATAAATAAAAGAATTATTTATAAGCGAAAAATCACTTTCTAACTAAAAGTTTAATCGTGAGATATAAATCAATTTTGTGTAAGATTGCTTCTAAATTAAAAAATGCAACTAATAAGAAGAGAATTCACTAATTAACTCTCAAGTATGTGTCGAACTGTTTTAAAATCTGCTAGTGGAAACCTTCAAAAATTGAACCAATCATAAACGTCTAAAATCGATACCTAGAAAATCCCAATAATGGGTACCCAAATCTCTCCTTAAACTAGGGACCATCAACCGTATAGAAAAATGAACTTACTCTTTCACGAACACATATCATGCATTTATACCAAACCAATCAAGAAAAACACAAAAAGAATTCAAGATTTCACCTGCAGTTGATGTCTCGACAGCCCTCAATGCGGTCCACAAAATGTCCGCACCCGGGGCAACTCATCCACTTCTCCTTCTCCGCAAGCATTCCAAAAGCAATATCATTCTCGTCCCTCAATTCCCAACTCTGTTCACACCTAAACCCGCTATGCCAAACCATCTGACATTGAAAGCAAAACCAATTCTTACAACTTGGACACCGCGACTTCTTCACATTCCCACCACACTCATTCAAGATCAGAGCATTGCAATTCCTTTGAGGACAATAACTCTTATTCACTTCCAGAATCGTCGATTCACATAGCACATCGCACCACTTCACAAAAAGCGATAAACCGATCATCGACCGGCACGAAACTGGGTCCAATAACTGGTTGCAATTCATATCCGGGCATTTGATGTATCCCACGTTATCATCCTCGACCTTCACTTTGATGTATTTGATAATGCAATCAGTACAATAGGGATGTCTGCATTTGTTCTTGTTCTTGAATTTTTGGTCGTGTAATATCATCGTCTCCATGCAGATTTCGCAAGTGAATGCTTGATTTTCGTCTTCTTGTTGGTCGTGCTTTGAATCATGGGGGATTGTGTCTTCCATTGTTTTTCCTTTTTCCCCTTTAAGAAAATTAGTTCTTTTAAAAGTGCAGCAAAAAACTAAAGAATCACTGAATTTATCATAAAAGATGATGCTACATATATATCAGAATGCTCATAACGGTATGCATCTTTCATAAGGAGGGACCCACTTCGAATAAAATATAATTTATCAGAAGTGAGTTCCCATCCACATGAGGATGTGGACATCATTATAAACATCATATTATGTACAAATAACATATTCCTCGTTGCAATCTTAATATTAAATTAGAGTTGTTACCTCGGTATAGTTTGCAAATTAATTCCGTCAGCATCTTGAATGATCTAGCGATTTATTATCGAACACGACAACAGGATATATGTTTGCACCTTGATTAGGTTACGAGTATTTGGATCACGAAAAAACACAATAATCAGAGGGAAAAAAAAAATTGTGATTGACCTCTGGAAAATAAATTTGCACCTTTAAAATTAGTATTTATAAAAGGCTGTGGTCTTTTATTGAGTTCAATTAGGATTCTTATCATAGTCAAATTCCGATTTGGAATCATGGAGTCCTGTTAGGACTCTTCAAGACTTTTTTAATATTTCAGAACCTAAAAATAATTTCTTTAATTGAAATAAATGTTTTGTTCAATTAATAATATAATATCTTTATTTATTTATTATCCCTTATAATTGGGCCTAAACGGCCACTAGTGTTTATCGCTAAGCATTGGAACCAATCGACTGATTAAGAGACGCATTCGGTTGGAGAATATTACAGTGGGGTCCCTAACTCCCCCCCCCCCCCCCCCCCCCCCCACCCCCCCACCCCATTTTTCCGGGAAACTGATTTTATTTTTATCTAAACAAAAAAGAAATAAAAAAGAAAACAGAAAAGTAAAAAATAAAAATAAAAGAATATACAAAATACACCAGTCCTTATATTTTATTTATATTTCCTTTTCCTTTTTCTTTAATGAAACAAAAGCTAAAAGTTGTATTTTTATTATAAAAAAAAAAAAAGGTTGAGTTTTTAATTAGGCAATTATATTTACATCAAAATCTTTATTTTCTATCACACATTTTAGTTGGAATAAAAATTCTCAACCTTAGCTCATGCTCAAACTTTATTTGTTATGTTCTTATGTTCACCTTCAGTTAATTAGTACTTGTCTTTGATGAAGGTTTATATCCAAATGTTTCATGGGCGTGCTTTGAAACGAGGGGCAAGTATTTAGTCGAATTATATATATATATATATAGTAATTCATGAAAGATGAATTATTTTGTTCAATAAATTATGTTAAATCCACAACTTACGTTTATATTCCCGTTCTCTATAAATTATTTTGTTCTTATGTTCTTATGATCAATTATTTCATATTGTGACTTAATTTCTTATTTTTTTCCCAACAATTTGGTATTAGATTCATTCGGTATCATATTCCACTTTTCACAACAAACTAGTGTCAGAGCTTTTCTGTTTTCCATAAAATGGTTTCAGATCTGGTCTGGATTATAACAACATAATATTATTTATAAAAACGCCTAATCTATTTTTTTTTAATAATTCAAATGATAAATTTTAAGTCTTTATAGCTTTTTGAATGAGACTAATGATTAAATTATTGGATGTAATGTGTTTATATTAATCCATGCATGCATAAAATCATTAGAATATAGAACTATATTACAATGAATGAATTTTAATCTGAAAAATTACAAATATTGAAAAAAGCAGACATTTATCCCTTTCTCTTCTTCATTTTTATATTTTTAATAACTTAAATTTTTTATAAAAACTTAAGTTAAAATTAACAATTCATTTTAATCCCACATTTAATAAGGTACACGAACTTTCAACCGATGTTCTCAAACTCGAACTGAACAAACTGGTTCAACCAGAAAAATTGAGAATCGAACCAAAATTTGGTTCGATCACAATATAAAAATTAGATGTAAAGAACCTAGTACATACTAGGAAACCGTCCAGTTCATCAGCAAAACTAGTGAATAGGTCACGATTTCTATAATTTGAGGGTGATGTTGCCAAAATATGAGGTGGGGACCTACTTGATACATTTTCAATAATTTGAAACACCAACTATGAGCTTTCCCATTTTAATCGTGTCGTTTGTGTTTTATAATAATTATTATGATGTTTAAAAATATAAATTTGTATGTATCATGTGTGTCTAAATATTGCAAAGTAGATATCTTAATTATAATATTACAAATAACTATAAAATGGAAGATTGGCCAATAATCACACAATCAATTTTTAAGAAAAATAGTTTCACATGGATGAAATTATCATAAAGAATAATATGTCTAAATTTTTTTAACATTCTTTAAAACTCAATATAGTATTGCTGAGACCAAATTGAGTTTGAACATTGAATTGATCCGAACAAAATCGTCATTTTCAAGATTCAAATGACACTTCATAGTTGTGTATAAATGTATGTCGACTAAGCCAACGAAATATGTAGAAGCTCGAGCAAGGGAAAATTATCATCCACCAATCTAACCGACCATCACCAAGGCTTGAGTAGCATATTGATTAGCAGTGGGGAAAACTCGACCAAACCCGTCAAAATCGACCGAACCGAACCAACCCGACCGGTTTGGGCCAGTTTTTTCATTTTTTTTAGGTGGGTTCAAGTTATGTGTTGCTTAGGCGGGTCGGGTCGGGTCGGGTCGGGTCGAGTTATGGGTTAACCCATCAAAACCAATATAACCCGCCCAACCCAACCCTCTTAGTTAAAAAGAAAATTTGAAAATTTAAAAAAAAATTATATATATATATATATAACAAAACCAAATGACAGGAGCCCTAAACTTAAACCCAAACCAAAATTCGAGTCTTCCATTGAATATTGAGATAGCGATCAGGGCGAATCCTGTGGCGAGGTCCATAAGGCCTGCACCTCAGGCCAAAAACTGAAGGGGCCCAATTTTGGGCCCTTTTGTTATATATATTAAATATAGGGTTTAGGGAATACGTTTTCATTCCTTTTCCTCATGCTGCGTGCGAAACCGAAGTGCAATCGACCTCTAATTCCACTTCAAGATTTCTAGTCAGAGTTTTAATCAAGAAATGGGGGTGATGATAAATTGATAATTCCTCAGAAGGCCACACAAGTTTTGATTATTCTTCTAATCTTCTGTAGCTAGCAACGAAAATGTCGAGGCCGAGAGCTTCAATCCATGCTCGTAAGTGCTAAGGTTAATCACTTAATCTAAACTCTACCTGCAGTGCATTTTGTTGCAAATTTAGTTTCTGTTTGCGAATTTAGTTTCTTGCAATTTGCTACTTAATTTCTTGTGATTTGGGTGTTTAGCAATCATCATCTGTGTTTGGAACTTCTGGAAGTGAAGCATGAGAAAGGAGTCAGATTTGAATTTTCAGAAGAGCATCTTTTCAGATTATTCTACCTTTCTTGCATAAGTTCTTGGTCGAATTAACTGTTTTTTTTTTTGGTCCTAAATGGATGTTGTTATTGGATTTGCAAAATGGAAAATGGAAATTTGTTCTTCAAACTCACATTTTTTTTGGGACAGCTACGGATGTCATTTTGATTTTGTATTGTATTGTTTCTGTTACTCTGTAACGCTGAAATTTGCATAAATAATAAAAAATGTTATTGTATTTGCAAAATGGAAAATGAAAATGGGAATTTGTTCAACATATCTTTATCCAAGAATGTGTGTCCTACTTGAACTTGCATCACTGATGAAACTAGTGAACTGCTTTAAAAATCTTGTATTGTTTCTATGGTGCTCGAATTTTTATTTCAGGCATGTAAGTTGCAACGGTGGAATACAAAGCTGATTTTCTTATCAGTTCTGTTTTTCTTTATGTTTTTGAAGTTGTACCGTGAATGATTGTGTCATCTGTTAAGAAAATGGCTTGTGAGATTCTTGAAATGTTGACTGAAGGGCTGAAGATTCAACCAAGAAATACATTCAGTAAGCTTCTTATGGATGAAGAGAGTGGCTCTTTATACAGGCTGAATCATTACTTTCCAAGCCCTGATGATCAGTTTAAGGGTAGAAATTTGATTGGTTTTAGTGAATACACTGACACAAATCATTCCTGTTTTGAGATCTAACAACACTTTTGGCCTTCAAATCTCATTTAAAGATGGCAATTGGATTTCAATCCCTCCTTATCAAAATTCATTCTTCATTAATGTTGGTGACTCATTACAGGTACATGTATAACCTAACCAGTTTTAATATTCAAATTAGTTTTATTTCTTGATATTTTTATGGTGAAAAAAGTTATTGTTTGTTAACGTCAGAGTAAGACCCACAATAGAAAATTTTTCTTTAACCATAGGCATTACTGTGAAGTTTGACTAATTATTTCCTTATGAGACTGATGCTTGTTGGCTATTGAATTGAATCTTGATTGATACTTCAACAAAAACGTTTTGGAAGTCACTGTCGGTTAATGGCTATTGTGTTTATGAAATTGCTTGATGGGCTTTCACTATTTATAATTTTTCTTGTATTTGAAACATTGTTGGTTTTGTTATTTTATAATATAAAATTTTTATATAATATATATATTTTTTGTTTTAATGTTAAATTTTAAATTAGCAATAAGTTGCATAATATTTAGTTGAATTTTGCATTTATGTTGATTTTAGGGGGCCTAATTTATGGACTCCGTCTCGGACCCCAATAATCACAAGACTGGCCCTGATAGCGATTCTGGCCGACCACCACCACCGATCAACCCGCATCTCTCTTCCATCGCGTACCAGCAGTTCGACGTGCCTCCCCACTCTCTTTCTCAATTTTGTGCATAAGTTCCCTCAATCCATGTGTTGCAAAAAGATGTGCTCTTATATTATTGGCAATTTCTGATGCAAGAGGGTTTGATGGAGTGGTTGGAGGAGCAGGTGTATTGGAAGAGGAATAATGGGTGGGTTCATGTATTCATATGTCAGGATCCCAATTCTTATACAAGGTTATTGATAGGGTGAGGAATGGGGTGCTCTTGGTTTTAGATTTTGGGAGGTTGGGTCGCAATCAGGCATCACTTGTTAAGGATGTGATCTTGCCATATTCACATCTCATTAATACCTACAATGAGAATGTAGGGGTTGAGAATCACAAGTCGCTGCTGTTCTTTATGGAGAATTCGATATAGAAAAGGGGTAATAATCTTTTTGCAATTAATATCATTTTCCTTTTCCGGCAGTATATATGAGTTTGTTTATTTTGGTAATGAGGTTATCAGTTAGAAATTATGATATACTCTTGCAACTTGTGAAATTCTGTATCCATGGATTGCCATGTTCTCTTAAGTTCACTAATTGGTAATATAACAAATAATAAGGTACAAAGACCACTTCTTTAATTTCTAGCTTTTGGGAATATAGACTGGATCCTCCAAGGTACGTGGATTTATTGCTTTGTTAGTCGGGCTGCTTTTATTGTCTATTAGTTGGGATCGAATCGAATGCTTTCCTTTTTCTTCTATGAATGTTGACAAGTTCGGGTTTTCAATGTTTTCTCGTGGGATTGAGTGAGAATTTGGCCTATGTTGCATTACTTTGAGGTGAATATTATTTCAAAGAATAGGCCATATATTTGTATCTCGAAGTTGATTTGATTACCCTGTGAAAGGAAAATTACTGGAAATAGAATGTGTTTTCTATTCTCGTTCAATTGGTTTGAAATATGTGTGGTACCTATGACTTGGGCATTTACAGTTTTAACTTTTGAATGGATGCTTGGATGATTGTTTTGAAGCAATTTTCTTTATGGTTTTTATTGTCCAACAAATTTTTTTGGTCTAAAATTTAAACCGACCAACCCAATCCAACCCGACCGAAACTTGATTGGGTTGGGTTGGGTTGAAGCACATAAATGGGTTGGGTTGGGTTGATTTTAGATCAAACCGATCATATTGGGTTGGACAAAAAATCAACGCAACCCAACCCATGTCCACCCCTAATATTGATGGAATTGAATATGCTGACCCAGTCAACCACATTGAAACTGCATAAACAATCAGCCACTAAGTTGAACTCATGGTACGTCTAAAGCTCTTGAGCCTATCAATTTTGTGACCAAATTCCATTTTATAAACTGTCAAATAGGAATTTTTGTTATTCAGACAAAAAATAATTTTTATTTATTTGTTTATTTGTTTTAATTATTAGGAGATTTATTTAGATTAGTTTTCTAAAGTTTGTCTTTATTTAGAATAGTAAGTTAAAAATTAAAACTCCTTAGTTTTCTTTAAAAACGAATAATCGTATGAAAGTTTCTCAATTCTTCCAATTATTCGCATTATTAAAGAGACAAGAAATATTTGAGGGTCAAATTCTCAGTATTCAAGTGAATCAACAAGTGTAAAGAACGTTAATCATATTCCACCCGCATTATTTTGCCGCATCACATATCCCACAAGAAGAAAATAAAAAGGTTAGTTCAGATCCTCGAGCAATTTTTCAGAACTAAACTTGTTGAGATAAACCATGTAAGAAATAGCACTCTGAAAACCCATAAGATAGACAATGTAAAAAGTAACACTAAAGGAAGCCACGCTCTAGAATGCTATGGAAAATTGTATCAAATATTGTGGAATATTCTAGAAAAGAGTTGAATGAAAAATGTATTTTTATATGAACGGTCATGATCTTTGACATAATCATTTTCCAATAATTATGACTTCCAAGATATGTGACTCTTGGTATGGTTGTGTCTTTTGACATACCTTCCAACTACTATATATAGACCTCATATGTTTGAATTTTATAATTCATGAAAGTTAATAAATAGTTCCATATCATTCAATTCCATGCTTACACTTTAGTTTGCATAAAGCATTTGCATCAAAGTCATGATTAGGTAGAGAGGGAACTCCGTTCGAGTTCGTTGGTCAAAATCATTTGGAGTGCTCCTATTGCTTGACGTGGTTGTTGTATCTTGGAAGATGATTTTCGAAAAATCGTTAGCACCATTGCGGGACAAATTCATCTTAAGGACAAAGTGTCTAACACTTGCCTCGACCGATCACATCACTCGCATCTCACCTTGATTCTTTCTGATTTCTTTCTTCGTATTTGATTTTAGAAAATTAATAACATTCTTTTGATTTCATGTAGGTTTGAAATAAAGAAAGGAAATGATTGAATATGTCGTTTTATCTTCCAAAATCCATTTCGATAAGACGAAATTGCGTGTAGGTTTCGTGAACATAAATGGCATAAGTTTGTGAATATGATATGCATAATATCGGTATAATTTTCCAACATCTTCCACTTTTTTTGCACCACAAGCCTTTGAAAAGCAATATCATTTCTATCCCTCAATCGCCAACTTTGTCCACAAGTAAACCCCAGTATGCCAAACCATCTTACATCGAAAGCAAAACCAATTCTTACAACTTGGACACTGGGATTTCTTCAAATTCCCACCACACGTTCAAGATCAGAGCATTGCAATTCCTAAAAGGACAGTAACTATAATTTGTTCCCAGAATGGTCGATTTACATAGCACATCACACCATTTCACAAAAAGTGAAGAACCAATCATCGACCGACATGAAACTGGGTCCAAAAACTGATTGCAAGTCAAAGCCGGGCATTTGATGTTTCCTATGTTATCATCTTCGACCTTCATTTTGATGTATTTGCTAATGCAATCCGTACAAAAGGGATGGCTTCATTTGTTTCTGTTCTTGAATCTTCTATTGGGTAATATCATCGACTCCAAGCAGATCTTGCAAGTGAATGCTTGATTTTCGTCTTCTTGGGGGTGTGTGTTTCGCATTCTCTCTCTTTTTTTGCCTTTTGAAAAGTAAAATAGTTCAATGGCTCGAATTCCAAAAATAAAAAAATAATAAATAAAACTAATAAAAACACCCTACTTGCCATAGATACAGCAGGAAAAACAAGAATACTGTTAATTACTCCATCTTAATATTAAATTACATTAATTCAAATTGTTACCTTGGAAGAGTCTTTGGATTAAGTCAGTCAACATCATGAATGATCTTGCGATAATAGGAGATGTATATGCAGGGGCGGAGCCATGAATTTTGTCCAGTGCGAGTAAAATTTAATCAAAGTCGAACTTTTCGTTTATAGATTTAATGATATTATGACAATGTTAAAAATAACATAACGACAACACTAATAAGACAATTATCTTCTTTCTTATTCTAGGATATATAGCAAGTTGTGCAACATCAAAATTCATTTTATTCGATATCTTCGCATCAACATTTTCTACAAAATATTTTCTTCTAAAGAATCTCTACATTGACATTTCACACTAAAATAAACTACAAGTGACAGTTAAGTACTAATTGATAAGAAAAGAACTACTAATTTTTACAAATTGGTAGAACACCATAAAATCATTACTAATTGTTTAACTAATTGACAAAAATCAAAATTTCAAGAATCCGTCACAAATATTACCAATATTCAACATTCACATAATCAAAATCCTTAATATTAAATAGAAAAATCACATGATCAAGAAAATTTTTGCTGCAAATTTGAGGACCCAAGAACATTTGGGTTTTAAAAAAGAAATGAATTTTGAAAATATTTCAAAATGAGAGCAGATTGAAAGAAAATTTTTAATTTTTTGCTAAGGGAATAGAGCCAGAAAATGTCGCCGTACACTTGGAGTTTGGGTAAATTAGTGTATGGGTTGGACTATAAATAAATGAAAAAAATACCTTAAAAAAAAAAATTGGATCGATCATGGGCTTGGGCCAAAACTCCAGTGCAGGCATTTGCCTACACTGGACTGTACATGGCTCCGCCCATGTGTGTATGCACCTTGATTAGATACGAATGTAAGGAGCACAGATAAAGCACAAGTATATGAGATTGACCTCTGGAAAATAAACTTGTCAACATAAAGAAGTAAAGAAAATTATAATTTATAAAAGATTGTAGGTCCTTTTTGGAGGCCAATTGGGACTCTTGATTAGTGTCTCGATCGTCTCCGGTTTTGGATGATGGTGTTCTGTTTGGACTTTACAATGCTTTTCTTTCTATTTAGTGGATATTACACAAAACCCAACTTTAAAAAACTGTGTTCTAAAATCAGATGGAAGGTTTCAATTTTCACAAATCAGATTTTTCAACCCAAACCCTAATACATTTACCCAGATAGTAAATTATTTCTCCCCCTCTCTCCTCAATATCCATTCTCCTCTTCCTCTCCACCGTCATCCGTTCAAGAACCACCCTTATCGACGGCGGCAAGGCAACAGTCATGCATCATTGAGTCTCCCTCCTCATCCAGTCGCTAAGGTAGACGGCGAGGCATTGCGAGCTACGATGCCTTGTTGCTCCTCGATGGCGATGGCGCAGCTACGCCTAGCGAAACTGAGCGTTACTGTTGCCCGAATCAGTAGCGATGCCTCTACTAATGGCTGGTAGTGTTAGATCTGCTGGTGATGGTGATTGATCGTGCATCTGATGGTGATGTGCGATGGTGGGTGTAGAATCTGGGGTGATGGCTGGTGGTGATTTGTGATAGTACCCTAATTAATAATTCAAAAGTTAAACTTTTAGAATTGTGATTCCGATTTCTTGCTTTTTGCATTTCATTTTATTTCTTCATAACGATGTGTTTGAGTTGGGTTGGGGGTGAGTTTGTGTTTTGTTGTTGGGCTGTGCTGATTGTGGTTGTAGCGGGGGTAATGGATTAGGCAGTTGTGGGGTGGTGTGCTAGCGGTGGTCATAGGTGATTTTGAGGTGGATTTTGTGGGTGTTTTTTGAGATGGTTTGGTAGTGGTGACGGTGGTGGTCACATGTGCAGTGTTAGCTGTTTGGGTGCTGCAGCGATCTGGTCTCAATCCGATGAGTTGGTGGTATAATGGCGTTGCATTAAGGTTATTGCAAAGTCCAAGTCTGCTTGCGTGATGACATTATTTTTGTTGATTTTTGCGTTTGTGTGTTGTGTGGTGGTCGTGGTTGGCAATGTGGTGGTGTTTTTTGCAATGGATTGATTTGTTTGAGGTGGTGGTGGTTCTGGCGACGATGGTGGTAGCGGCAGTTTGTGACCAATTATTTGATTATTTGTGACAAACTAATTAATTGTGATCTAAATATTCGATAATTTGAGATTGAAAATAATTTGTGACCAATTAATTTGAAAATCTGTGACATACAAATAAATTGTGACTTGATTTGTGATCGATGAAATTAACCGTGACCAATTAATTTGATAATTTGTAATGAATAAATAAGTTGTGACAAATAAAAGTGGATTTTGTGACCAATGAATAATCTGTGACCTATAAAAAAAAATTATTCGTGACCCAAAAATAATGTGACATATGAAATTTTTGATTTGTGACCAAAAAAAGTTGTGACCAATAAATTGATAATTTATAATTAAAAATTAATCCGTGACTAATTAATTTTTTGATTTGTGACGATGAGCAAACTGTGACCTACAAAATTTTTGAATTGTGATTGTAAAACAATTTGACATAAAATTTTTGATTTGTGACAAAAAAATAATAAGTGACTAATTAAATCGTTAATTTGTGACCAAATTGTACAAATCTTGACATAAATATATTTAATTAATAAAATAATTAATTAATTAATCAAATCATAAATAACTTTTAATAAAAATTTAATTTTTGAAGTTTGAAGTTTGTTTTCTTAATTTTGAAATGTGTGAT